GATTTTTCCTTCCATTGGAAAGATATTCTTTTACTTCTTGTTGGGTTTACAGGCCAGGCAGTGAAGAAGAATCTCCCTAAAACAGATAGAAGTTTCAAACCTTCTCTACTTTATTAAGAAATGGCTTTACATATATTTTAAATATTTTACATTTCAAAGTTTCCAAAACCACTGACGCCTGTAATCATGTAACCCTATGTCTTCCAAGCTTGTTATCTCCAATGTATACCACCACACTATTTTTTTTCCTTCTTGCAGTTTTTGCTAATTAATTTAAACTTTGATCACATCTACTTTGATGTTCTATTATACCAAAATAATTAAAATAATTAGCAGACATTGTCCTTGTTAGAGCTAAACCAGTTAATTCTGGTTGAGGGTGGGCAGGCTAATTGCTGGGCTTAACATCAAAGCCTGGGGGACTTCAGCTTCCTTTCTTCCAAGAAGACTTGTAATGACTGATGTTACCAGTAAAGGAATTACTAAAAGTTATCAAGTCTTTGTTTTGTTTGGGTAGCATCTGAAGTCTGAACAGAAATGTTTAATGGGAATTCAGCAGGCTACAATACTGATGATAAAAATGTATTCTGCACCAAACTTTGCTTTGCAACAGATTCAATGTTTTTATAATACCAGTTCCAGGCAATGAGCAAAACCAATCAAAGTTCTACGAAGCATGGCCCTTGTCATTGTGTACGAGATGTGATGGTGTAAATGAGAAGGGAGGAAGCAAAACCTGAACTCTAAGCAAACAGCTACATTTATAGACATGGTCGGATCTAGGGGGCTGTTGGGGTGGGCTATGCCCCCCCAGATTTTAGTTGTGCCCCCCCGAAGCCAGCTCTAAACTGCCACTATACTGCTCTAACCTACCACTATGGTTCCCCAATCTGACACTATATCACCCTAATCTGATACTTTTCCGCCCTAGTTTGACACTATACTGCTCTAGCCTTACACTATACTGCCCTAACCTACCACTATACTGCTCTAACCTGTCACTATGCAGCCCTAATCTGACATATCACCCTAAGTTGAAACTTTACCTCCCTAGTTTGACACTATAGCGCCCTAGCCTGACACTATACTGATCTTAGTTATGTGTTGTGTGGGGCGGATGAGCTCTGCTGCCTGTGCCCAGGCTGTGTGCAGTGCAGGAATGGGAGAAGGAGTTGTGCCCCTGTCCTCTGCCCTGACCGTAGTGACCCCTGTTCTCTGCCCTGCCCGCAGTGACCCCTGTCCTCTCCACTGCTCGCAGTGGCCCCTGTCCTCTGCTCTGCCCACAGTGACCCCTGTCCTCTGCCCTGCCCGCAGTGACCCCTGTCCTCCGCCCTGCCCGCAGTGGCCCCTGTCCTCTGCCCTTCCCGCAGTGGCTCCTGTCCTCTGCCCTGTCCACAGTGACCCCTGTCCTCTGCCCTGCCCGCAGTGACTCCTGTCCTCTGCCCTGCCCACAGTGACCCCTGACCTATGCCCTGCCCACAGTGACCCCTGTCCTCTGCCCTGCCCGCAGTGACTCCTGTCCTTTGCCCTGCCCGCAGTGACTCCTGTCCCCTGCCCTGCCCACATTGATTCCTGTACTCTGCCCTGCTGATCTCCCATCCTCTGCCACCCTGACATTTTTTACTGCACCCCCACATCAGACAGGCTAGATCCAGCCCGTTTATAGACAAAATACATATGTAGCCCCATCTGGTGGTCCTTTTCATTTACAGCCGCACAGCCCAAGGCATTAACAAGGCTGCCCCACCACTGCCATGTTTGCTTCAACTCATCACAATGGGAGAGCATAGTAGGGGAAGCAGCCATGCTGTCCTATTGCATTGAAGGGAATGAGAACAGAATGGGCTGAACAGTGTGGGTATACTGCATGGGGGACTCAAGAGGTGTCCTGGGAAAAAGACTAAAGGGGACTTGCAAGAAGTAAGGCCAAAACATATGTAGCACTACCCCCTTAGAGATTGCTGATGAATGTTGTGTCCCCCTATAGTCCTGCACAGCCAGTCATTTCGCATTTTGCACACAGACTTTCATCCACAGACAGAAATCAGGTCTTGAGCGTTGGTTTTGTTGTTTTATTGAGGGGATTAAACCCTAGGGTTTAGGGATGTATAGGATGCCCAAGGGAACTGAAATCTGAGGACAACTTCTTGAACTATTCACAGCTTCTTCTCTCTCTGACACACAGTCTGTTTTGGAGTACTAACCAGCAGCTCCAGTTGTACCACCCCAGACCCTAGATGACTCCTCTTCACCCAGCAATCTGGAGACTTTCTTCCTGAGCAGGGGATCTGGCTCCTGTTCCCTTAAATAAAATACACAGTCACTAGCAGAGGGCTAATCTGGTTTCCCACCAGAGTGCTCCTTCCCCTATCCACGCAGGGGGTGTTGGTGTAATCACTCAGATCTTTTCCTGTACAGCTTGTGGAATGGCTGCTGCTACCAGGCCTATCAGCTGGGCTGCTCATTCCTTGCCACAAAGGTGGTCCTCTCTCAGGGGACCAGTGAATCCTGAGGTTTCCTCCTCTCTGACTCCAGGCTCGCAGGCGGGCCCCATCCCAGCAGGTCTCCTGGCAGCCTTCTTCCTCCAGCCTCACATCCTTCCTCTCTCACATTCCTCTCCCACCACCACACTCCATCTCCTGCTACTGAGCAGAATCCAACACCTTTTAAGGGAGTCCAGTCCCTTGCCAAGCCTCCTGTTGAGGTCCCTCAAAGGTGCAACCGACCACTGCTCAGATCCAACCACTGCCTCCAAGGCCCTCCTCCGAAAGCCTCAGAGAAGGGAAAATTCCAGAGGGGCTGGCCTGCAAAGTCTCTTAGCCCTGACTTGAATCTGACCCCTCTGTCTATTGAACCTGAGCTGCTATTCAGTTCCTGTCTAACCATCAGGGAGCTAGCTCCACCTAGTGTAACTAGGAGGGTGAATCACATATTTCTTTAGTTTTGGAATAACCCCTGTCGGGTATTTGTTTTTCTGTCTGTGTTCCATCAGGGAGATTTTCCTTCACTTTCTGCCCTAGAGATATGATAGGAAGTATGAAGTGATCTCTCCAAAGCGAAGAGACATCTCCTTTTATTCAGCTGTAGCCAGAACTAGTGCCACAATTGCAAGATTTCTCCTCTCCTTGTTCCTGTGACAACTCAAACATTTAGGACACATGACAGAGTGAATCTATTCAACTAGAGACACAGATAATAAAAAAACATGATAGAGGTTCTAACATTTCTCTACTCCATACAAAACTAACGGAAAAAAAAAAAAGGTTTTAGCATTGCATACCCTTCAATTTGCGTTTTTTTTACAGTACTGTGCAAAAGTTATAGGCAGGTGTGAAGAAATGCTGTAAAGTAAGAATGCTTTAAAAAATATATACTGTATATTAATTGTTTATTTTTATCAATTTACAATATGTGTACAAACAGAGGAAAAATCTAAATTAAATCAATATTTGGTGCAACTACCTTTGGCATTAAATCAGCATCAGTTCAATTCATCAAGCTCTTTTGAAGAATCACAAAGAAATGGGCAACACTGAGGACCTTAGACGCAGTGGTCGGCCAAGGAAACCTAATGCAGCAGATGGAAGACACATCATGCATACTTCCCTTCCACATCAGAAAGATGTCCAGAGGTGCCATCAGCACAGAACTGGTGGAAACAGTGGACCCAAGTACACCCATCTACTGTTTGGAGAGGTCTGGCCAGAAGTGGTCTTCATAGAAGAATTGCGGCTAAAAAGCAATACCTCCTACTTGGAAACGAGGCTAAGTGACTCAGCTATGCAAAAAAACAGTAGGGTGCAGAAAAATGGCAGATGGACAAATATTTAGCTGTAGCAGGAGGCAGTTTGTTGGCCTAAGGGCTGGACAGTGGTACAAAAATGAGTGTCTGTAGGCAAATGTAAGAATAGCAGAGGTTCCTTGAAAGTTTGGAGCTGCATTCCTGCAGATGGAGATTTGGTCAGGAGCAATGGTATCCTCAATGTTGAGAAATACAGATAGATACGTATCCATCATGCCATCATTACATACCATCAGGGAGACGTGTGATTGGCCTCAAATGTATTCTGCAGCAGGACAACAGCCCTTAACATACAGCCAATGTCATTAAGAACTTTAGCGTAAAGAAGAACAAAAAGGCCTGGAAGTGATGGTTTGATACCAACATCATGAAGTCTGTCTGGGATTACATGAAGAGAAAGAAGGATCTGAGGCAGCCTACATCCACAGAAGATCTGTGGTTGGTTCTAAACGATGTTTAGAGCAGCCTACCTACGGAGTTCCTGCAAAAACTGTGCAAGTGTACCCACAAGAACTGAGGATGTTTTGAAGGCAAAGGATGGGTCACCCCAAATATTGATAAGATTTAGATTTCTCTTCTGTTCATTTACTTTCCGTTTTGTTAATTGATAAAAGTAAACCATTAACACTTCTATATCTGTAAGCATCTTCATTTACAGCATTTTTCACAACTGCCTAAAACTTTTGTACAGTACTGTAAATCTTCCTGGAGTTCAGCTTTTAACTCTCATGTAATTTTACAAAGCATCCTATGACAAGAGGCTGCAGTGCCAAAATCACCTTAAAGGGACTCTGTTATAAAATTTGTTTACTACAACTGTTGTTATATGCAAAAGAAAGCAATAAATAATAATCTTTCCCAGTGGCCATTGTAATCATAACTACTGTGATCTCGACCTCCTGTGTTCACAATGCAGCAGGGCAGCTTCTTGGGCCAGGAAGCTAGTGCAGATCCCTGGACTAGTGGTGTCTATTACAGTGACTTCCAACTTCCAAGAGGATCCCACAGGTATGGTATTTACAGTACTAGGACAGGTTTGTCTAGCTCTCTGGGCAAGGATGTGGAACCGCTCCCCCGCTCCTGATGCATGCCATGGCATAGGTGTACCATCCTGAGCCCATTCTCTGACCCCTTGCAGTGGCTGGTGGGTGCACTGCACCAGCATGTGCACCAAACTAAACGAAAAAGTGTTACTAAACCACGGACCCTGCATTCACTATATCCGGTCTCCCTGGACCCTGCATTCACTATATCTGATCTCCGAGGACCCTGCATTCACTATATCTGGTCTCCGAGGACCCTGCATTCACTATATCTGGTCTCCCCGGACCCTGCATTCACTATATCTGGTCTCCCCGGACCCTGCATTCACTATATCTGGTCTCCCAGGACCCTGAGGTCTCCCCCTGCATTCACAATATCTGGTCTCCCCGAACCCTGCATTCACTATATTTGGTCTCCCAGGACCCTGCATTTACTATATCCGGTCTCCCAGGACCCTGCATTTACTGTATATCTGGTCTCCCCGGACCCTGCATTCACTATATCTGGTCTCCCCGGACCCTGCATTCACTATATCTGGTCTCCCCGGACCCTGCATTCACTATATCTGGTCGCCCCGGACCCTACATTCACTATATCTGGTCTCCCACAGTATACAGAACATGGAAATGCAATTATTGTAGTAAATATAAACTGCTAAATACCTTTTCTCATCAGCAGTATATAGAAGTCTTCTGACTTCTATCAGTGTCCAGCCGAGCACTGGTTAAAGCTTGTAGGAGGAGTTTTCTTTCTGCTCTAGGAGGATGTAAAACCCCTGACCCTCTGTCTGGACAGTGCTGATTGGCCCTGTGCTGATCACATGTGCTCTCCCAAGAAAAAAAAAAATACCTCTCTAGCAATACGCACTAAACTGAGCATGTGTATGTGACTACAGGTTCAGTCTATCTTATCATGGGGACATTTGAACAAGAGGAGGGACAGAGAAGACAGGATCAAACAGCCTTTTTACACAATGCAGAGAATTAACCCTTTAGGTTCCACAGTGAGTATAACAAGCCATGCTTTACTGCACTGGTGTCAAACTGTCAGCCCTCCAGCTGTTGTCAAACTACAAGTCCCATGAGGCACTGCAAGATTGACAGTTAAAAGCATGACTCCCAAAGGCAGAGGCATGATGGGACTTGTAGTTTTGCAACAGCTGGAGGGCCACCAGTTTGACACCCTGCTTTACTGCATATACAGACTGATTTTACTGTTGTGGGTTTAGTAACACTTTAATTCCAAACCAATCACACCAGCACAGTTCTGATATTATGTCTGTATATTACTAACTGACAGTTTTTATTAGGATAAAGATGTCTTGCTGACTTTGTCATCTTCATAATATACAGTAAGGTCTAATTTCCCCAAATATTACTTGTGCCAACCACAAGTGCTAATTATTCTGACATGACAGGTTCCACGTTCCCGTCAGCTAGCCTCCGTGGCATCTGTTTGGTATTAATTGTAACACAGTCAGGCAGATGTATAAATATTTGAGTGTAATTGCAGATTGTGAATATTAAACAATGCAGCAAGGTGGGCACAGTGTGTTTTATTTCGTGTTAATAATGTATCAGAGAAACATGATTCTGTCGCAGGGAGGTGTTTTTATGGAAAAGTCCCAGAGCGATCCACATTGTCACTTTTATCATTTTTTTAAAAGGTCCATGTGTAGCATAGGTGCAGCTGTAGTGGGGGATGGGGGACAAGAGGATAGGGTATCTAAACCCCCCCAAAAAAATTTAATATATTGCAGATTAATAATCCTGATGTGGTGGCTGCATTCATTTTTTTTTCAGTCTTTATTTTCAACTGGTTATCCTGCCAGTAACACACGTCCTAGAGTGACAACACTCACTCACTGTACTGTATCTATGGAGGAGCATTGTTGTCATCCTTGGCTACAGAACACTTCCTCATCTGTTCTGTAGTCCAGCAGGAGAGAATTAGGCAAAGCTGACAATTCTGCTTTCAATAATACTGCTCAGAATACAATATAGCGCTGGATTTCTGACAAAATCAACATCTATTTTTTGCACTGTTAAAGCGGAACTAAACCCTCCTCTCCTTTACAGCCAAGGAAGCTGCCATCTTGGCCCCTGTTTGATCTGCAGTTGCCATGATGCTATGCATGTGATCAGTTGTGACTAGGGCTGCTGTTAGAAACCACAGGGCCTCTTACAGCCAGCATGACAGGGCCCCATACAGCCAACCTACCTGGGCCTCCCATCCCCACAAAAAAAACCACACATTTACTGTGCTTCAATTATGCACAGGGGCAGACTGACAACTCATGGGGCCCCCAGGCAATAGGGGATCATAGGGCCCCTGTGTCCTCGCCCATGCTCAAACCACACCCAAAAAAGCCTATGAAAGGTAGCAGGAGCACCCCTACTAACCCCGGGCCGTGCCCGAGTTCCCGAATGGTCAGTCCGCCCCTGGTTATGCATGAACACAGTGAGTGATCGGTAATGATAACTCACTATGTTCATTCAAGAATGGAAGGGGCTGGTAAATTACTGGAACCGATCCCCTGTATGTTTCTCTCTGTAGCAGCTGAAAGCCAGCCGGGGGGGGGGGGGGGGGGAGAAAGAACCCAGTTATCAGCTGCTGCAGGGAGAGTCATACAGGGGATTCATCCAGTGAATCACCTTCCCTGCCCACATCCGATTCCCCCAGCTGCCTGGGCCCCCCTGCTGGCCTGGGCCCCATACAGGAGGACTGGTGGTGTCCCCTTATTCATGGCCCTGGTTGTGACACCAGCCATTTGATGGCTTGACAGTTCGATTGGGAATACAAGCAACTGTGACAGTTAGCATTCACAGCATACCCTGGATTTGAGAAACAGTTATGCCCTCTACACACTATCAGTTTTATTCCTAGTTGCTTGCATTGGTCTGATCAGAATTTCCTGGGCTGAGAGTTTGATTACTCCCACCTGCCTCTGGATGAAGTTCCCAGAGCATAGGTAAGGGGGATTCAAATGACTAGTGTGAATATTTATCATGGCCCAGCCAATCCCTGGTAGGAGGCATCCAGAAGGTGGTTGGGGAGGTGATAAAATGTCTGGAAGCTATGCCAGAGGGTTCCAGCTCTCTCTGGGGGCTGCTGCCCCTGGAGGCGGCTTCACTTAGACAAGAAACGGCAGTCTGGGCCTCAGCAGCTGTTGGGTTGAGGGCCCGGAGAAGATTGTCTTAGGATTACATTTGCTGGAGAACCCGGCACTGAAGTCCTGGTCTGGAGAAGGAACTTATCTACCTCACTGAGGATCTACCTGTGGATGCTGGGAGCAGACTGCTCCCAGGACGCAGTAAGTAAAAACCTTGCTGGGCCTAGTTGGCCAAGTGCCAGAAGGTAACTAAGTGCCTGAGGTTGCTATATGGACTGCTGCTATAGGGTCCTAGATATACTGACCATTCCCTGCTACCTCCAGGAAATCTGCTATTGAAAGATTAGAGAGAAGTTTGTCCTCCTGTTGTTGCTACTGCTTGGTTTGGAGTATGCTGTGACCCTAAACCCCTCTCCTGTTGCAGTCCTTCAGTAATAAACTACTAAAAAATTTACCAAACTGACATTCCCTAGAGGCACTGAGCATGAACTGTCAGTGTGCATGGGATGGAGCTTGTGTGATTGGTACTCTCTGTACTACTTTTGGAAAACCTGTCTATTTCCAGCGGCCCCTTCTAGGGGTAAGCGCTACAAATACATTAGATAATAGATAACTACCGTTATACAGGCTTTTCCATCCCATATGGAAGAAAAATATATTGGAAATATATTTTAAAAATATTCTTCCCAAATGTATTGCCATATATTTGAAATGCTACAATTTTGGCCAAAAAAATATGAAGAAAATATTTAAAAAAAATATATTTTTAAAAAATATATATTTTTTTAATATATTCTTCAGATTTTTTGTAATATAAAAAAAAAAGTAATTTTAACATATTTTTTTTTACATATATTTTTAAATGCATTCCAAAAATGTAGAATTGTATTTTTAAAGACATACAGTATATTTGAAATGTATTTTTAAAAATATTTTTCATATATTTTGTAATAAAAATGCATTTCAACATGCAGTGTATGTGTGTATATATATATATATATATATATATATATTTATTTATTTTTCAGGTACTTATATAGCGCCGTCAATTTACGCAGCGCTTTACATATATATTGTACATTCACATCAGTCCCTAACCCTCAAGGGGCGTACAATCTAAGGTCCCTAACTCACATTCATATACAAGGGCCAGTTTAGACAGGATCCAATTAACCTACCAGCATGTTTTGGAGTGTGGGAGGACAGGCAGGAGGTGCCATTTATATATATATATATATATATATATATATATATATATATTTTTATTGAAATATATTTTGAAATATATTGAATATGGCCAAAATTGAAGCATTTCAAATATATGGCAATCTATTTGGGAATAATATTTTTAAAATATATTTCAAATATATTTTTCTTTCATGTGGGAAGCATTTGACAAAACTTACAACTAAAACACACTTTGGGTACATGGTAGAGGGACGGACACCGCTCAAGATCGACCCTGGGAGTCAGATGAGTGGAATGGCTCCAGCCACTGCTCCAGCCACTGCTCCAGCCACGGCCCTGACGCGTTTTGCCCCATCCACCTATCTGCCTATCTTTTTATTTATCTAAATATTTCTCTTTGTGAACTACATCATCCAAAACATAACCTTTTATGCATTCTTTGGTCCTGATGAAGGGTGCCTTTTAGAACCCTGAGATGTATTGTTCTTTTTATTTATTTGTAGTGCAGTGCTTTTCATATTGTACATTCACATCTATCAGGGATGGGCTTGGGTTCAGTCTGAACCCAGAAATTATCTGTTATTGCTGCGCCTTGCAGCTACACATATACAAAGGTTGGGTTTGCTCATGACATCATTGACCTACTATAGGTACGTGGCCATATTATGTTATATTAATTGAATATAATTAATATAACATAATATAATAATATTAATATATTAGTTGTCATATTAGGTCAATGATGTCACAGGCATCTCCGCCCCTTCGTATACATACAAGCTGGGGGGTGGGGGAATCTTCCAGCCACTGCTCATTGGCCCGGCAATGTCCTTAGATATGGTGGCTGCATTAGTTTTATTTTTTTTCAGGCTTTTTTTTCTTTTCTTTTACCGGGTATTCCTGGGAATAACACAATTCCTGTCTCTGGGTGGGGTGGCTACTCTCATTTCTTCACTGTATCTATGGAGGCAGCCATTGTTCTCACCCAGGCTGGACAAAAAACATGTCTGTCTTTTTTCTCTTCCCTACATGGGAGATGGGGAGCGTAATAGTTCACAGAAGAAAGATATAATTGAATTATCCTTCTAGTACAGCTCACATGAAGTGATAAGTACATGGAATTTCTGGTAAGAATGACAGCTATTTTCTACTTGCTAAAAATGATCTTAGCCTGAAAATATGAAACCTCTTCAGCCACATATAAGGACTGAAAGTCTGCAATATATTATATTTTTTGTTCTTAGGTTTAGTTATCTGTTAATTAATAAGACTCTAATGGACACTTAAGGGACATAATTTGACAATC